CTATCAAGCAGGAGGCCCTGAGTTCAAGCACCAGTACTACCAAAAACACAAAAGGAAAACAGTAAAAAAAAAACTAAAACAGAAGGGAGCTTTCTCAACTTTATAAAGAATACTCATGAAAACCACAACTAATATCATGCTCAATGTTCAAACACTGAACGCTTTCCCCTCATCCCCATCCCAGAGATCAGAAACAAGACAAGGATGTTTGCCTTCACTAATGCTACATACAAACCAATCCCAAAGAATCTGCAAACAACTACCAGAGCTAATAAATAAATTCAGCAAAGTTGCGGGGTACATGATCAAGACAAAAATCAGCTATGTGCCAAGGGAAAATATTTTAAATGATACATCTGATAAGGGTCTGTAAAAGAACGGTTACAACTCAACTAGAGAAAGACAAACTCCATCTAATAATTGGCAAAGAGCTGGGGGTGTGGCTCAGTGAAAAAGCACTTGCCTAGCATGAGCAAGGCCCTGGATTTGATTCCCAGAGCTGAAAAAAAGGAAAAGAAGCCCTCACTGTAACACAAAAGTGCAAGATGATGCAGCCAATGCTGATGGAGAAGCCACAGCAGGTTATCCAAAAGATGTAGCTAAGCTAACTGATGAAGGCTACCCAAACAACAAGTTCTCAATATAGACAGAACAGCCTTCAATTGGAAGAAGCCATCTAGGGCTTTCATAGCTAGAGAGGAGAAGTCAATGCCTGGTTTCGAACTTTAAGGACAGGCTGCACTCTTGTTCCGGGCCAGTGCAGCTGGTGAACCTAAGCTGAAGCCAATGCTCATTTATCATTCTGAAAATCCTAAGGCCCTTAAGAATCATACTAAATCTACTCAGCCTGTGCTTATCAGTGGAACAACAAAGCCTGGATGACAGCACATCTGCTTTCAATGTGGTTTACTGAATATTTAAGCCCACTGTTGAGGCCTACTACTCAGAACAAAAAGATTCCTTTCAAAATATTACTGCTTATTGACAATGCACCTGGTCACCAAGCGCTCTGGTGATGTACGGATTAATATTGCTGTCATGCCTGCTAACACAACTTCCATTCTGCAGCCCATGGAGCAAAGAGTAATTCTGACTTGTAAGTCATATCATTGAAGGAGTACATGTCATAGCTATGGCTGCCATACATCCTGATTCCTCTGATGGGTCTGGGCACAGTAAGTTGAAAACCTTCTGAAAAGGATTCACCATTCTGGATGCCATTAAGAACGTTCTTGATTCACAGCAGGAGGTTAAAATATCCAAGTGTTATGGATGACTTTGAGAGACTGCAGGCTTCAGTGAAGGAAGTAACTGCATATGTGGTGGAAACAGGAAGACAACTAGAATTAGAAGTGGGGCTGGAATTAGGCAACTGATTTGCAATTTCATGATTAAAACTTTAATGGCTGAGGAGTTGTGGATGAGAAAGAAAGTGGTTCTTGAGATGGATTCTGCTTTGGTGAACATGCTGTGAACAGTGTCAAAATGGCAACAGAACATTTAGAATAATAAGTAAACTTAGTTGACAAAGCAGCAGCAGGATTTGAGAGATGGACTCCAGTTCTGAAAGAAATTCTATTGTGGGTAGGGCGATATCGAACACCATACAAAGAAATCTTTCAAGAAACAAAGAACTGATAACGCAAACTTCATTGTTGTCTTAAGGAAATCACCACAGCCACCCCAACCGTCAGCAGTCATCAACACCAAGACAAGACCCTCCACCAGCAAAATGACTACTAGCTGAAGGCCCAGATGACCAGCAGCATTTCTTTTTTATTTTTTGTGGGACTGGGGTTTGAACTCAGGGCTTCACACTTGCAAAACAGGAGCTCTACTTCTTGAGTCACACCCCCAGTCCATTTTGGTCTGGTTATTTTGGGTATTGTGAACTATTTGCCTGGGTTGGCCTCAAAACTTCAATCTTTGAAATCTCGACCTCCTGAGTAGCTAGGATTACAGGTATGCACCAGTGCTCAGCTAGCATTTCTTTCTTTCTTTTTTTTAAGGCATACAGTATTTTTTTTATTAAGGTATGGACATTTTTAGACATAATGGTATTAGTGCACACTTAGACTAAAGTATAGTGCCAACACAATTTATGTGCATTAGGAAAGCAAAACATTTGTGAGACTATCATTATAGTAATATAAGCTTTTATGTGGTGGTCTGAACCAAACTCAGTGTCTTAGAGATGCTCCCTGTCTTCGGCCTCACAGCACTTCAGACTCAAAGCCATAATACAATGTGGCTCCAATGAGGGATAAGACAGGGGATATCTTATCTGGGATGGGTAAGGAAGCTCATTATTCCTGACGGGAAGAAGCGAGACCACTGTTGACGTAGCTGCACTGCCTTCTCACTTTCTCATGTCAGTGTGACAAGCCACTGTGTCTACACAATTTGCCATGCTTCTTTCCCTGGAGGCAGATCGTAAGTGCCTGTTCCAAATGCACTAGATACTGAGCCTTGTGAGGGTAGAGGCTTTGATTCATTCATTTTGTATATAGACACCACAAACAACAAAGCAGCCGGCACTTAACCAAAACATTTTCAAGTTTTTTTTTTTTGATGGTACTGGGCATTGAAACCCAGGGCCTCGCACGTGTTAGGCAAACACTCTACCACTGAGTTACAGCCCTGCCCTGACCAACACATTTTTATGAAATGAATAATGTTATCCACCTGGAAAGAACAGCAGGGAGCAGAATGGAACCCAGCTAGTCTGGTCATATAGAGGATGCATACACAGGTTTGAAACTGTATGAACAGGTCATAAGTGGTACTTTCTTGTCTATGGTGCTCTACTCTAGCCCATGTATGAGATCTCATAATGACTATAATAAATGTGACATCAGAAATGAAAATAGTAGAAAGATCTAAAATAAGAGAATTCCAAAAATGGAATCCTGCTGACTGGGTTTAGTAATCTGTAAGGCAGTTATGCCAGGTGGATTATAAATTGAAATAGCAACGACTGGATTTTTTTTTTTTTTTTGGTGGGGACTGGGATTTGAACTTAGGGCTCTCGCTTGCAAAGCAGGCACTCTACCACTTGATCCACACTTCCAGTCCATTTTGCTCTGGCCATTTGGAGATTTAAGGTCTTGCAAACTAGTTGCCTGGTCTGGCCTCAAACCACGATCTTCTCCGTCTCAGCCTCCCAAGTAGCTAGGATTACAGGTGTGAGCCACCAGTGCCCGGCTGGATTCCTTTATTAGATCAAAAAGAAGGGTGACTATACAATTGATTGCTATAAAAGAAAACTTTTTAATTCTTAGGAACTCATGGGTACCTTTTGGGGATGTTAAAATGAAAATAAAAAGCTCTATCAACTCGTAGTGCTGCCATGAAAAGACACCCAGCATTATTACGAGAAGAAAGAGCAAGCTAAAACTAACATACAGTTTGTTTTTTCTTAAAACTGTGTTAGCATGTACACAAAATGAAACCTCAATTACCAATAATACCAATTAAGTCTTGGGGGTAAAATTATGATACACTTATGGAAGAGTTTACAGGTTATGGGGTGAGCACCTTCTATAGTTGATATTTTTGTAATGTTTGCATTTTTAAAATGAACATGTATTGCCTTTATAATCAAGAGAGAAATATAAAAATATATAAAAATGAAACTGAAAAAGTTTTCTCTTAATTATTTTTAAAAAGGTCAAAGAGAAATGATATTCACTGATGTAAAATAGTGTTGTGAAGTCACCGTCTGAGGAGCACTGAAGTCCCCTCAGTGATTCTGAGAGCCAGCACAAGACAAAGGCAGATGAGCACCAAAGTTGTCCCCTTCCCCCAACCCCCAACTCTTACATGTGAGTATTTGACTTTCAATATTTTAATGTTGAAGTTGTGCTGCCAGGAAGTCAAAAAACTTCTGATATAAAGTATGTCTAAATAATTTATTTCTGACTATTCCTCAAAGCACTGCCTGGGGTTTGAGCTGTCTCCCCAGGAACAGTAATATGTTTCCTCTTATGTTTCTTGAGCACAAGATTTTGTGAGCTTGCTTCTGTCAGTATAAGATCTGCTGCATGGATAAACTGCCTGGGTACAAGGCCTGGTGTTATATGTGTAAGGTTTCTCTGTTTCAAGAAGCCAAGACAGCTTTCTCTGAGACATAGTCTGCCATCCAGAAGCAAAAGACCAAGGCTCACCAGAGACTATTTTCACTGGAAAGAAAAGTCAAGCCTGAGCAATCAGAAATAGGTCAGGGACTTTTCAAAGCAACTTTCTTGAAAGAGGATTTTTTTTTTTTTTTCCTTCAAGATTCTTCTTCCTCATCGCTGGTCTTTTTTCAAATAGGATATTGTGACTGCCTATAAATCCTTTTTTTGTTTGTTTGTTTTTAGAAGGCTGCTACAGTACTTTTAAGTATTTTAGAGTTTTTTCTTTTTTAGGTTACTGGCATTACTCTAGTCTCATTAACTTAAGAGAAAATCTTACTTCAGAAAACCTAAGTGAAGGATTTCAATATCTGAGTTAAAATGTCTGCATCCTCTAGAGTTAAAAGAATGATTTTGGAAATTTTAATTTTTTTGTTTGGCTATGCATTATCTGTAATAATCAAGGAAAATATTTGAAATGAAATTCCTTTCCCTGTTTTGTTTATTTTTCCTGACTTTCATAGTCATCTCCTCATCTGGATTCTTATTGGGCTGAAACTAATATGGCGTTTTCTGTTTACTACATTTGTGCTTCTTCACTGAGGTAGCTGAACCTATTGGTGAATATCTGTACCAGAACCAGCAGGGGGAGCTCACTTACACAAGAATCGGAAGCCATGGATAAGGGGGATGGTGGGAAAAACAATTCAACTTTCTTCACTAAAAATAGCCTTTTTGCGTGTTGATGAATTATCATACAATAAGCAGCAGGATACTGACAATGGTACGGAGATAAAGAGCCCTTGAGAAGGTATACTTAGGCCAAGCAGCCACTGCCTCAAGGGCAAGGCTACAGCCCACAGCAGGTGCATACTCAGCCCATACCTGTTTTTCAAGGCTTGGCTTGCTAAGCTGTACAGTTTGAGGTCCAGCGAGTCTGGTCCCTGGAGTAGCTATCACAATGCTGGTGAGCTGGGCCATGGGAAACGTTTTGGCTATGGTTGCAGTCTGCCCATTGACGACACGGACAGGGTGGATGGAATTCTGGGATGTGGGGAGGGTTGTGGGGGTAAACTTGGTCAGCATGACAGGCCTCTGGATAAGCTGAGGAGCTGCAAGCATGGGAGGAGGTGCTGGGGCGATAGGAATGTTATTCTGGGCCACAGGCTTGGGTCGAACCTATGGGGGGAAAGAGAATAATTATTGTATTACTTAAAGAAACTTCTCAAGTCCTGTAAGTCTAAAACACATCAAATCTTCCACACTATATACATGAAATGGTATTTAATACAAATACTTATTAATATTAATTTCAGCATTATTAATTCTACAGATCTCAGAACATATAATCGTACAAAAGACTCAACAACTCCTAAGAGGACCCAAATGCTACCCTAGAAACCAGTACTGATTTTAAACCCTCAGCTCCCTCTCTACACGATGCTACCTTTTCAGGCTGAGGTCAAAGGCCTGATCCAGAGACTGGTCCCACCCAGAACTTGTGCCCAATGTGGAAATACTGTTGCCAATGGCTTTAATTCACGTTCAAATTTCTACATTTCTACAGCTTCAATTCACTCCCATTTCTGGTACTCTGGAACTTCTTCCTCTTGGCTACTCCTTCTCTACTTCATTTTTGGGCTTACTCCTTCCCTGCCCAATCCTAAATGTGAGTATTTTTCAGTAGTATGTCCTGGAACTCCCCTCTCCTTTCCAATGTCTTCACTCTTTCCGGAAGCTCTCATCCAGCCCATGGTTTCAGTTCCCATCTATGTACCAAAGGCTTTCACACTTTTATTTCAGGATCAAGGAAATTCCTGAACTTCAGATTCAACTGCCTATTAGACATGTCTGCTTGGACATCTCACAAGACATTCAAAATCAACATGTCTCACACTCAATTCTTCATCTAATTCTCTGTTCCTCTTTTAATCATCCCAGTAAATGCCCTTTTCTTGATAAAGTTCAGAACTATTCTTTTTTTTTTTTTTTTGGAAGGCGTGAAGTCACTTTATGTAGTCCATGCTGGCCTTGAACTCACTATGTAGTCAGGCTGTACTCGAACCTCTTACCTCAGCCTTGAGAGTGCTAGGATTACAAGGGTAGATCACCACATCCAACTTCAGAATCATTTTTGACAATTCCTACTTTACCTCTATTTCCTAAATACTTTTCAGATCTACTTTTTATCTTCACTGCCACTACTCTAGCTTATGTTTGCTTACTGAAACTGATTTTACAAAAGCCCAAACTGCTTAAAAATATAGAGTTAGCCTTAGCTGGGCACTGGTGGCTCATACCTATAATCCTAGCTATGTGGGAGGCAGAGATCAGGAAGATCAAGGTTCAAAGCTAGCCTGGGAAAACAGTTCATGAGACCCTATCTCAGAAATATTCAACACACACACAAACACACACACACAAAGACTGGCAGAGTGGCTCAAGCAGTAGACAGCCTGCCTAGCAAGAATGAGGCTCTGAGTTCAAATCCCAGTATCCCCCCCCCAAAAAAAATATATATATAGGGTTAACCTTCAATAGGTTCAAATTCTGGTTTAACACTTATAAACTATATAATCTCAGACAGTATCTGATTGTTCTAAGCTAGTATTTTATACTGTGACCCCATGGGTAAAATCCTTTCCCCTTTTGCTGAGAGTATGATCCTCAGTCAATTCTCTAGCTCTGTTCCCTCAGAAACCAGATAAGGGTAATAGTGCAACTATGTTACCAGGCACACATGATAAAAACCCCTTTTGTTGAATCAGTTAGGGGTCACTAATTGAATCTGGATGTGTGGAACTACAAATACTTGAAAGCTTTGGGCTTTCCTAAGTAGGGTGACTCTTGTAACTTGGTTATATCCCTTGGTGGGGGATCTTGAATGCTGAGACTATGGAAATATCATAAGATATTATTGGCTCCCATAGGCATAAGGCTTTATGCTGGAATGGCTCTGCCACCATCCTGGATAGAGGCCACATTTGTTTGAACCTGAGTTATCCCTGGATAGGGAATGCTGAATGGGCTGCTATGGAACTCCCACTAAAGAAAAATATCAGATGCTATCTTGATAGAAAGTTGTGGTTTCAGCCGTCTGTCATTTCCAAGTAGAAGGGTACCAAGTATGGCCCATGATAGCCCTGTAAGTCTGCAAATTCAGCTTAACTTAAAATGACCCTGTGGAGGGTGCTATTAGCTTAACAGTAGGAAATTGGTATTACTGCACACAGACATGTATTTATACCTCTATAAATCAAAAACTTCATGAAACATCAACACATTAAATTGATTTCACAGCCTACTAATAGGTTATGAACCACCATTTGAAAACACAGACTAAGCCTTAGATCCCTTACTGAAAAAAAGAGCAATGCCTACTGAGAAACTTAAAGCAGACAACCCATGTAGGGTGCCTGGCATAGTACCTGTGCATAGCTATTATCATTACTGACAACGCCCTTTCTGTGCTTCCTCCCCACAGTACTGACCATCTCCAATCTGTTCTCTGCACAGTGGCAAGAGGGAATTTCCTAAATCTGATTATGTTAAGTACTTGCCTTAATGGATCTCCAGTGTTGCTAGGATAGACCCAGATTGCTGCATAGGCTGCAAGAATCCACAGTCTCATTTCTAAATCTAGCCCAGGTCAAGCTCCTGGCCCTTTGGGCTCAGCCACAACAAATCTTCTGGTTCATTGAGCCTACACACATCTCTCTACTCCAGACATGCATGTATGATCTACTTTCTACTCGGGACATTTTTATTCTTCCTCTAAAACTCTGTTAGGCTAACTTTACAAGGATTTTAGGTCTCGAATTGAAATGTTAACTCTTCAAGACAACCCTGAAAAAATGTTCACTAACATTCTCAAGAATGGGCAGAGTGTCCCTCCCACAATACTCTTGGTCTACCTTGGAACTTCCCTTAACAGGCACTGTAATTGCCTATGTAGTACTTCTGAAGTTCTCTGAGGATAGAGAACCACCTGTCTTGAAAACTAGCATATCCATAGTACAGTGGCTTAGTACAGTGCTTACTACCCAAGGTACTTACTAAAGATTTATCTGATAAATGACTGAATCATTTTATCTCATATTAGCAATGTCTACCCCTCCCCAGAGGTTATTAGTAAATCATTTACAACACTAGTCAGAAAACACTTTTCTCTCTGTTTGAAATCTAGGCCCTGAGATACCAACTCTCAGCCTTTTTTTCTTTCTTCTTTTTTTTGGTGGTACTGGGGCTTGAACTCAGGGTCTCACACTTGTCAGGCAGGTGCTCTGCCATTTGACCCACTCTGCCAGCCCTTGGCCTTTCTACTAGGCAAGCCAATAACCCTCAAGGTCAGAGTGGGATAATCCTGACATTCTGCCTTGAATACCTATAAGTGCATTAAATTAATTATTTTAAGTTCAGGGAATTTTCTTTTCCCTTACTTCACCCTGCTACCTGCATTTGTTGCACTACCAACAAATCATGATGATTTTCGCTGCTTCCTGGCAGAGAAACTGGCAGGCAGAATTTTTAGCAAAATGGGCTCTGAAGACAGCTAAGCTGATAAAGCCTGCTTATAGGCTGTTTAGAAAGGGCCTGTGAGGATTTTTTCCCCAGGTAATCCATCACCTGGCTTCTCACTGGTTTACTCACCTGTGGAAGAAAGTTGGGACGTGGAGTAAGTCTAGGAGGAGGGATAAACTGTGGTACTTTGATGGGCTGAGGAGGTGTTGCCTGAACCTGCTAAAAAATGAGAAAGGTAAATAAACCAGAGAAAAAATAATAGTTTGATATCAAAGTGAGACATTCTTAAAGTACTTTCCTATATATTCTCTGGATCAGACACTATTTTCTACCGGCTAACTGTGGAGTTAACCATCTGAACTAGCACTACATTAGAAAACATTTTCTCTTCCACCTGCAAGCTTTATCCCAGAAAGTGAACCAACCACGTATGTTTTCTCACATACCTCATGCAGAACATAATGGGCTTAGCAATTTTAGACAATTTCCTTTGATACTCAAGAACTCATGCACTTATATATTTTAAAAGTCAAGACCAGATCCTAAGTAAAATTAATTCCTATCGAGAATTTTCTAACTCTCAAGCATCTGACAGTGATCTGGTCGCTTCTCTAAGGATTCCTGGGAAAGTGGCAAAGCTTTACTTTGTTGCTCTCTACTTTCACTCATCATTGGTTATTATTCAGAAGTTGTGATTTTAAGAAGATAATTTTATCAAAATTTGGATATAGTTCCCCTAAGCTTCTGAGAATACCAGTTTCTCAATGACTTGATCCTAGAAATCTCATGAACAATTCTTGCTTGAGACTTCCTCCAGTGGAATTTTTTTTTTCCTACAGAACTTGGCTACTGGTGTGTTCATTTGTGAGCTTCTTAAATATTTTAAGAAAGGTGGTTTACTTCCAGTTGCACTGAATTTAAAGGGATGGTGAACTAGAAGAATTTAGCATAACTTTCCCCCAAAGCAGTAATATAAAACAAGAGTTTAAACACTCACGTTTCACAGGGAGGACAGTGGATGAGATGGAGGGAAAGAGAAATGAAACAGTGTGTGCCTCTTTAAAGGACACATCCCCCCAACCAAAGTCACACTTTGATCAGATACAGTGCACTAAATCTGGTCGTTGGTATGAGGATGTCTCTATAGTCAACTGAGCAGACAGTAGGAATGCTACACTCCTTTATCAGGCCCAAGCAGGAGTTTGCTATGCCAGGAGAATACTGGGAACTGAGAAATCCAGCATTAACCGAAAATGGACATACTCTACAAATGCACAACCTGAACACTCTCATGAGGCACACATGAGTAGCAGCTGCTGGCTTACCAGAGTGACTGTGTTTTTTGCCACAATTTGGACAGCCTCTGCCCCAGGCCCAGTGACCTTATTAGACGTCTGGAGGTTGACTGGTGTATTCTGCACATCAGTGCTCAGCACAGCCTTCTGACTGTTGATGGCGGTCACCATAGCAATGGTAGGTCTCTGGCCCACGACAGAGGCAGGCATGGTCGCAGTTGCTGCTTTCAAGACGAGAGGTAGTGTCTTTGTGGTAATCATAGAAGCTGTAGTCACAGTCTTCTAGGACACATGAAGAGCACATGTTAGGACTCTGAAATGTGACCCTACTAAATAATAAACTGCTGAACTCCAAAAAACAAAGCAGTAATTCTCACAACCAATCAAGTTTCTCTGTATAACAGCATTTCTTTTGTGTACACAGAGCATACTTCTTACTGTATACAAAGACAATGTCTAGTTTGCTAGAGTTCTCAAATTAATGTCACTTTTAAATGGGCAAGTTCACTGTTATCATTACAGACTAACATAAGGACAGGATTTTGAGATGAATAGCGGGTTCACAGATCTAGAATATGAAAGTACTTATTTCTTCTGGTTTCTTCTAATTCTCGGCCTAAAGTCAATTACTTTGCATACAAGTTGTTAATCAATGAGGTACACATCATCTCTATTCCAGGTTGCTGCAACCTCACCAATACGAACAAAGCCATCATATAATTACGGTTACCTGCCTCCTGTCACAAAGGCAGGGGGGAAGGGACAGTGTCTTTTCATTTTTCTGCATGTTACCCTAGAGAGGTAGAAGGGAAACTCACATGAGGATTATTACAACTGTTACTTTTAGAGGTAGTAAATCCCAAATTCTAGATAACGAAACATATTAATCAACTAGTATAGGACATACCAGTTCTTGATACCAAAGGAATCTGAGTCACTATAATCTTTACTCTGGAGAAAGGTTACAGAAGTGATCAAAGATTCAGCGAAGATGACAAGGTGGAAACAAACACCTGAGTTTCAAACAGCCTTAGCGATCAGAGACTGAGCTGAAGTGAGAGGACTTGACTGATGCTCTGTAAGTGCTATCACAGCTTTGAAGCCATATTTTTCTAGACTTTTTTCCCAGAATTATTTCAAGCACCAGTTACAAAGAAAACAGAAACCACCTTATTACATGGCACACGTATCTATCTGGTGCTACGAGTTACTCAAGATACAGATGTTTCAGGAGTATGAAATTTTATCTGGTCCAACTTACTGGTTTGTTTCTTCTTACTCTGTATTTTTGTACATACAATTTGGTAGCTACTAGCCACATGTAGCTATTTACATTTTAAATAAAAAAATTAAACATGAGTTTCTCAGCTGCACTAGCCACATTTCAAGTAGCCACATGTGGCTAGTGGCTACCAAATTGGACAGTGGAGACAGAGGATACTTTTAACATGGCAGAAGGGCCAAAGGGACAGCACTGCTCTAAGATCAGTGGAAAAAAACCACTCCTACCTCCCACTCACCTGCTTCCCACTGAATTTCTAGTTCAGTGTGTAAGTAAGGACCTGTGTATTAAGTTGTCTAGTTGTAAGTAACTATTTCCCTTTGCTGCCTTATGCACATACACGTATCTTTTAACATTTTTTATTTTTCTTTTAACTAAAAAACTTGAACAAAAACAAACCTTAGTGATCTGGCCTCATCTATCCCATCATAGTTTAATCAATAATCATTATTCATGCCTGTAATTAAAATCACCCAAATCTTTGTTTCTTCTTCTCTAAGACAACAACACAGGAATGGCTTATTCTCTTTCACTGCCTCCTCAAATGTAAAATGGAGTACTTGTGAGTAGCAGATCATCTACTTCTATTAGGGATGAAAACCAAATTAAAGCTAAATGCTATTTATCATCAGAAATGTCACAATAGTATAGAGCAAGGGCTCACTGCACAATACAGCTTTTCCCCCTTCAGGGCTAGGGACAGAACCTAGGGCCTTGAGCATGCTAAGCAAGCACTGTACCACTGAGCTATAGGAGATTTTAGATAGTATGATGTCAGCCTTATCTTGTGATTTACAATGTTCAATCCTGGTGCTACCACAGGTTGTGTAAGCAAAGCTCAGGGAGGCATAATCGATATGGATTTTAAAAACGGTTGCGCCTACTGTTATTGCTTTATTTCTGCTCTTTTTATTTGCATATATCAAACTGTACATAGTAAGGGGTTTCATCGGGACATTTTCATACATGCATGTGATGTACTTTGATCACATCCCCCGCCTCTTGCTTTACAAGAGGTCAATGAACTTTTGTTTGAAACACACTTAGTTCAGGTACATCATTGTCAGTATTTTGACTTATCCTAAAATGATTATACCTAAAATCCACCTTTCCATTAATCCAACACTTGAAAAACACTGCAACTTGACAAGTTTGTTAGCATTTTTATCCTAGTTTATAAACATTTAGCTGTGGCTGGTTTCATGACATGTATTGTAGCATCTATTTAATCTATGTGATACAAGGAACAGGACCTAATATTGAATGCTTCAATGAAAACTCCTTGAAGAATATAGTAACTCTTACTGACACCACATAGGTTTACTTAGATTTTCATTCCTGTTCTGGTGCTTATTATATTCCAAATATTAGTGAATATCAAACTCTTGGAGTGGTAAGAGTTTAGATAAGAAAGTGAATCAAGAACTTTGAAATCCAAGCCTAATGAAAATGTCTGAAGTGTCCCGGCAGGAGGAAAAAAAGATGCAGCAAGGATAGGTGTCCAACAATAAAGAATATGATTTTATGACTGATCATCTTCAAGAAAACATGGCATTGCCATACAGTTAATAAAATACTTCAATTTTGTTAAAATCCAAATTGCATAAGCTAGAAGTTAATGCAGAAAATACATGGCAAATAATAACAATAACAAAATCCTTTTCATTTTTTTATTTTCCTAAGTTATTATTGTTGTTAGCCTGTAAAATATTAAATACAGATTTAAAACAAATGGACTCCAGGGTACGAAGCAGAACTGAGAGGAATTATTACTATGGGCTCTAATTGATCTATGCATTTATTTTAGCTTATCTGCTTAATTTTGAGTGGACCACCATGTTATACACTCAAACAACCACAAACACAACTCTCCCTCCCTTTGCTTCTAAGGGTTTCTGTTATGTATGGTTTTATTAACTGCACTCTTCTTTACATATGCATTTTGTCATTAAAAATGAAAGGGTACAGGCAGGTGCAGTAGCTCAAGCCTGTAATCATGTTACTCAGGAGGCAAAGATTGGGAGAACCAAGATTCAAGGCCAGGCGAGGGAAAAAGCTTGCAAGACTCCATCTCAACCAATAAAAGCTGGGCGTGGAAGCACACCCCTGTCATCCCAGCTATGTGGGAGGCTTAAATAGCAGGATTGTTGGTCCAGGCCAGCCCTGGCATAAATGCAAGACCCTATTTGAAAAACTAACCAAAGAAAAAGGGTTAAGGGTTTGGCTCAAATGGTGAGTGCCTGCCTAGCAAGTGTGAGGCACTGAGTTCACCCTCTAGTACCACCAAAAAGAGAGGGTGTGAATGTAGGTTGAGGAGTATACTTACATTTGAGTGTTCTATTTGTTCACTTTTCCTGTGGATTGAAAAAAGTTCAAGATCTACATATAAGCCCATGTTGGACTTAACCATCCCTCTCTGCAGAAAGATTTCCTTGTGGCCTTTTCTGTGCCTGGATGTATGCCATGTATAAGTTCCCCTTGTCTTTGCCCTTATGAGCCTTTAATTACTTTCCTATGACTGCCACAACACCCGAGTTGTGCCATGCATTAGAGGGCTTCAGTCACAAGCCAGCCCCTTTCTGCTTTTTTCTGGCCTTATCTCCCTGTTCCATCATTTCATGGAATCTATACTCCAAAATCACCAGCCTACATGTTATTCTCACAACATGCATTTACATTTTTTTGGTTTTCTTTTGTTTGGTTTCTGAGACAAGGTCTTGCTATATACCCCTGATCCTTCTGCCTCAGCCTTTCCAGTTCTGGGATTACAGGTGTGTCCTATCACCCCCAGCTTTGCATCCACTTTTTTGATTCCATTCTTTTGTTCATATTACTCTGTGTACCTTTGATCCTTTTCCTCTCTGCTCCATCACTGAAATCCCATTCATTTGTCAAGGCCCTGCGCAAAAGTTCTGATCCTTCCAATGAAAATTACCATTTTCTGGTGTTTTTTTGGTGTCTTCACTGTACTTTTATTTTACTCTTGTTAGGAGCTTGCATCTCCCCTTCTACTTCCCCCCCCCCCCACACTGTACTGGGGTCTGAACTTAAGGCTTTATGCTTGCTAGGCAGACTCGAGCCTTTTTTTTTTTTTTCTCCTTTGCCCAAGACCATCATCCTCCTGCCTATGCCTCCTGCACAGCTTGAATTAGAGGTGTGCACTAACAGGCCCAGTTTATTGGTTTGCAATGAGGCCTGGCTAACATTTTGCCTAGGCTGGCCTCAAACTGCAATCATCCCGATCTCTGCCTCCTGAATATCTGAGATTATAGGTATGAACTATGTCACCTGGCACTCTAAATTTCTAAAATTCTTGAAAATATGAATTATTTTTGTGAATATAGCCTCCACATTGCCTAGCAGTGCTTGTACATTGCAGGGATTCAATAAATATTTATAGAATGAATGAAAATTATCATAATGTACTGGATTCTTGACAGGGTCCACTGCTCTTTGTATATCAGAATCTAACACATACAAAGCAGTCAATAAACATGGAATGAAAGTTTGCTGAGAAGACAAACACCAAAAACCTAGAGGATCCTTTGGGTCTTAACATTAAACCTTTGCATTAAATAAAACAAAGGTTAGATAATCAATTAAATACATCAGGTGGGCTACTAGATGGACAGATGCTATGCAATACTGTTTTAGGGATAGTCCTGGGACCCTCACTGTCCACCTCACTGGAAACTCACATGACAAGGGAAGAAACAGCTCTTATAAGTATTTTATAAAAATTTCCTCATTAAGACTAGTATGGTGGCTCAAGCCTGTAATCCTAGCTAGTTGAGAGACAGACTGGAAGGATCGTGATTTGAGGCCAGTCTGGGCAATGCCTTCACAACACTTCATCTCAAGTAATAGCTGGTGCGGTGGCACACATCTGTCATCCCAGTTATGCAAGGGAGCACAAATAGGAGGATCTCAGTCCAGGCCAGCCCAGGCATAAAGTGAGACCCTATCTCAAACATAAACAACACAAAAAAGGGCTGGTAGAGTGGTTCAAGTGGTAAAATGCCTACCCTAGCAAGTGCAAGGTCCTCAGTTCAATTACCTGTACTGCCTAAAAAATAATCATCATCATCCTGATTTGTATGACATGGGATGTCACTTGAACAGAAAAATCTCCATGGGTTAAAACAGAAACTCCTATGTGTCAGTAAATATCAAATTCTACCACACTCCTTCCATGTAAACACTCTAACCCAACTGCACTTTGGAAAGAGAACAACCTAACCCAACCGTTTAAAATGCTAACAAAAGTAATCTGACAAGCAGTCTTTTAGGAGCAATACAGTCTTGGTCAAGAGAATTTTTTGTTTGTTTTTGGAGGTACTAGGGTTAGTACTCAGGTTCAAACCCATGCTTACTAGGAAGGCTCTGGATTCACAGCGTTTAATAGTTTTAAGGAGATCTATGATCCTCAAGGATCAAGAACCACTGTTCATTAGTCCCTTTTTAATAGGTATGTCCACACATACTTAAGTGTGTGGAGATGAAGCTTTAATGGTTTCTTAAGCAAACACCATTTCCAGATATGCCCTTTGTGTCTATCTTCATTGTTCATATTCTAACATTCTATGCTAGTTTAAATGCACTTCTCAGTAAAAACATTTTCCCAGCTACATCACGGTAGAACATTAAGTTCCCACTTGGTTTGAGTTTTTCTCTGTGGTTCTCATTGCAGATTTCCATTAATGAATTAGAACAGATTCATATCCTCATGAATATGAGGACTTAACTATGAATGTTTCATTTCTATGAACAATAAAAACATACCACTCTTCTGAATGTTTCTATCCATCTGGCCCCAAGAGCACTGATCCTCAATTAGCTCCATACATAATTTCTAAGAACTCCAGAAAAACAATTCCAGAAGAAGTCAAGGGACACAAACTTCATAGAGTAAGAACAAATAAACACCTCCAGAAATTCAAGAAAATTTTCATTCTGTTAGGATGGATAGAGTGATTTTTCTTTGTCATTAACTACCTTTCCCCACTTGTTCAGACAGATAGGAAGTCATTTAACTTTTGCTCCTTTTTTTTTTTTTTTTTCATTTTTCTTTTATTATTCATATGTGCATACAAGGCTTGGTTCATTTCTCCCCCCTGCCCCCACCCCCTCCCTTACCACCCACTCCGCCCCCTCCCTCTCCCCCCCCCAATACCCAGCAGAAACTATTTTGCCCTTATTTCTAATTTTGTTGTAGAGAGAGTATAAGCAATAATAGGAAGGAACAAGGGTTTTTGCTGGTTGAGATAAGGATAGCTATACAGGGAGTTGACTCACATTGATTTCCTGTGTGTGTGTGTTACCTTCTAGGTTAATTCTTTTTGATCTAACCTTTTCTCTAGTTCCTGGTCCCCTTTTCCTATTGGCCTCAGTTGCTTTAAGGTATCTGCTTTAGTTTCTCTGCGTTAAGGGCAACAAATGCTAGCTAGTTTTTTAGGTGTCTTACCTATCCTCACCCCTCCCTTGTGTGCTCTCGCTTTTATCATGTGCTCATAGTCCAATCCCCTTGTTGTGTTTGCCCTTGATCTAATGTCCACATATGAGGGAGAACATACGATTTTTGGTTTTTGAGCCAGGCTAACCTCACTCAGAATGATGTTCTCCAATTCCATCCATTTACCAGCGAATGATAACATTTCGTTCTTCTTCATGGCTGCATAAAATTCCATTGTGTATAGATACCGCATTTTCTTAATCCATTCGTCAGTGCTGGGGCATCTTGGCTGTTTCCATAACTTGGCTATTGTGAATAGTGCCACAATAAACATGGGTGTGCAGGTGCCTCTGGAGTAACAGTCTTTTGGGTATATGCCCAAGAGTGGTATTGCTGGATCAAATGGTAGATCGATGTCTAGCTTTTTAAGTAGCCTCCAAATTTTTTTCCAGAGAGGTTGTACTAGTCTACATTCCCACCAACAGTGTAAGAGGGTTCCTTTTTCCCCGCATCCTCGCCAACACCTGTTGTTGGTGGTGTTGCTGATGATGGTTATTCTAACAGGGGTGAGGTGGAATCTTAGCGTGGTTTTAATTTGCATTTCCTTTATTGCTAGAGATGGTGAGCATTTTTTCATGTGTTTTCTGGTCATTTGAATTTCTTCTTTTGAGAAAGTTCTGTTTAGTTCATGTGCCCATTTCTTTATTGGTTCATTAGTTTTGGGAGAATTTAGTTTTTTAAGTTCCCTATATATTCTGGTTATCAGTCCTTTGTCTGATGTATAGTTGGCAAATATTTTCTCCCACTCTGTGGGTGTTCTCTTCAGTTTAGAGACCATTTCTTTTGATGAACAGAAGCTTTTTAGCTTTATGAGGTCCCATTTATCTATGCTATCTCTTAGTTGCTGTGCTGCTGGGGTTTCATTGAGAAAGTTCTTACCTATACCTACTAACTCCAGAGTATTTCCTACTCTTTCTTCTATCAACTTAAGAGTTTGGGGTCTGATATTAAGATCCTTGATCCATTTTGAGTTAATCTTGGTATAGGGTGATATACATGGATCTAGTTTCAGTTTTTTGCAGACTGCTAACCAGTTTTCCCTAACTTTTGCTCCTTAATAATGTTCTTTTCTTCTATAGTGAGTTTCAACTGATTCTTAGCCCAGTAATAGCCGCAAAAAGTAACCAGCACAACTTTTTTTGTTTTTAGTGCTATCTGAGCTCAGTTCTGCATGACCAGTGAAGTTCCCACAGGAGAGAAAGCCCCGAGGGAGGTGCCAGCCCACTCTTACCTGTGCAGCAGTCAGGCTGGGAGAGGGTGCGGCTGGCTGCGGGGCGTGGTGGTGGTGCTGCTGCTGCAGTAGTGGCTGCTGCTGTGCTGTTTGTAGTTTGTTTTCAGGTTGTGGCAATGGCTGGATTTGGAACTTGTCTGGTTGCTCTTGCTTTACTATCAGGTTCTTCCGTAGCTGCTCAACTACTCTTTTCTACCAAATGAAGGGAAAAAAAAAATCCGTCAGAATGCTGTCCGATCAGCTGCATGGACTTATGCAGCAATTATATTCCTCTATTGTAGTTCTATAACTACCTCAACTAAACCTGTTGCATCTAAAACTTACAGATTCTACATTTGAGGGGCTCAAAGAACTTAACAGACATTCCCATTAATATGAAACCAATGGTTTTTATATATAAAGGTAAACTGATGCATATAGTTTTTTTGAGACAGGTTTTCTCTGTGTAGCTCAGACTGGCCTTGAACTCACAATTCTGTCTCAGCCTCCCAAGTGCTGCCAGAAACAGGCATGCAACACCATGCCCAGCTCAAATTTCTTGACTATTATTAGTTTAGCATGCTAGGGTAGAAGGGAAAAATAGCACAGTAGTAAGAGACAACTTTGGAGCCATAGTGCTTCAATTCAGCTGTAAATGTGCTAGTGTTTCAGTGTCCTGGTTTATAAGATGAGATGGTAACAGAACCATTAGGGTAGATATGAGCACAAAATGAGGTAATACATAATGTAGTCAGAATGATAAATACTGTGAACTAAAGAACTCAGAATAATTGGATTGGCACGTTACTAATTTCTAATCAAACAAACACCATGTATACACCGGCTAGAAATATTAAACAGATGTTCAAAAACGAAACCTTGATTCCAGCAATACGCAATATAAACAACAGACATTGAAAATTACTGAAATGTTGAACTCTTGAGTAGAACTTTGCTGGGAATTTGTAGAAATAAATATTTGTTTAGGCACAATAGGGATTTAGTTATGTGGGATGAAAATTTAAAGTTCAAGATTCTTAACTTTCTAGGTCTTGTTCAAATCCCAAAAGATGTGCTTTTAGATACCTTCATTACTATAAAATACATCCCCCTTGTCCCTTCTTTTTTTTTTTTTGAGGTGCTGGGGTTTGGGTCTAGGGCTTTTGCTTGTACCACTGAGCTATATCCCCAGGCCCTAGCCTAATAAACTTCAACATGGTGTAGAAAGGGCAAAAACTTCTTTTGTTCACAACTATATTCTGTACTGAGTACTATGTTGCCGAGTAATGCCCTCATTCTCCACATGGTGTGTGTACAAAGTGATGGCACTGAAGACCAGCAAATGGCTCAGAGAATATGGAGTGTAATAAATGTTTAGGGCCAGGTTGGGGCCAAACAATTCCCTTGTCCCAATGGCTAGAAAGAAGTACAAACATCATTCCTTTCACACACTCTCAGGTAAGTTGATCAGCTGCAGTGTGCTATTTCTGATAACAAAAGACTGCTATTTTCTAGTACAGATGAAGAAAAAGAAGTTTAATGCTAGTTGAGCCTTATACTAAGCTTTAAGTAAAGGGTTAAGTAAAACCATAGCAGCCAGATTAATCATCAGATTCCTACTATAACTCTAACCAACTTTATCACCCACATTCTCTGAAATCCAAACCTGCAGGCTACTTGCCCAACATGTTTGAACATTAAAATGTTTACACAATGAATCTTTAAAAAAATTAAGTACATTTTGAGTGTGTGTGGTACTAGGGTTTGAACTCAGGGCCTCACGCTTTCTAGGCAGGTGCTCTACTATTTGAGCTACTACGCCAGCCCTTCTTTGCATTGGGTATTTTTGAGATAGGTCTCACTTTTTGCTAAGGGTAGCCTCAAACTGCAATCCTCTTGATCTCTGCCTCCCAAGAAGCTAGAATTATGGGCGTGAGTCACAGGCTGAGAGTTTTATATTGTGTTGACTCCTTTTAGACATTAGAAATACCACACAAAAGTCAGGGTTTTTTTGAGGGGGGAACTGATTCTGCTATGCATTACACCCTGCTAGCACTGGCATTTTGAGCACTTTTTAAAAAAATTCAGAGTCCAAAGTCTTTGTAGAAACCATTGACAGAATAATAAAAATGTAAATTCATAAACTATCAAATGCTTACAAAATTTAACTTTCAAGTGTTCAAAATTCTATTTCTCAAGTATAAAAGGTAGAAAAATGGAAGTACTATAGTTTAGAAGGAGGGGAAGAAATAGTGGTGCTGCAGACAATTCTGAGTTTTACATGTAGTTTTTATCACTTTTGTGTCTGCTGGAACATTTAGATGTTTAAAATGAAGTAACTATTTAGAGTTACTGTCAGTCCTCTTTCCCATCAGATATCAATTGCACCGACAATCTAGCTAATGTGCAGCATCAGCAGAGAAAGTGACTCCAAGGACCATTTAAAAAAACAATGGAGGAAAGAAACCAGGGTGAAATGATACAACCAAAGTGTGATACCTACTAGAAGGGAGAGAAAAAGAGAAAACAACCTTGACTTTGAACACAGCCATCACAGGAAACTAAGTAATTACTATAGCAGGCACAGAAGGACAGGACGTTTTTCTCCTGTTTACTGCCTCACTGAAGTAAACTACAATGAAGGTATGCACAACAGCAGGGAACAGCAGAGGAAAGAGCTAGAGCTGGGTGCGGGCTGGAGTACTCTTCAGTCATATCCTTGAGCGAGGTGGCGACCAAACACATCCACAAAGGAGAGGGGGAGTCAAGTGAGTCACACAGCATTCACAACTGCTCCTCCCCAGGGCTTGAAACAAAGCCCTGGAAGCTTGCTGGTGCTAGCAAAAGGAACCAAGATCCAAATACTTGCAAACTTACATCAGTCTTCAAGAGGAGGGGAAAAGGGAAAGAGTTGTGCAGATTGGACACGGGTCAGATCACATGAATTGGGTAAAGTTTTCTTTAGATTTTCAAACGCCACTCAGAAAAACATTACCCCCCCACTCCTTCCTGAGGGTACTAGAAGGTTAGAAGAAAGCAACAGGCACAGTTGTGCACCTCTGTGGATATCTGTGAAATTTTTTTAAAAATCAAGGTTTGGGAGAGGCACCGCTGCTTCCCTTCACTTAAATACATATGACTGCAGGCAGAAAACCAGTAAGTACAGGGGGCTATGCAGTAGAGGTGCTCCTCAGGCACAGAGGCTCTGCCATCTTTTCAGGGACTAGGTGTCATGCATAGCAGCTCTTCTAAGTCCTACAGTCCTGTCTTGCTCTAGTTGTCTTGCCACTCTGGTGAACAAAACACTCAGAACACTTCGGACCTGGATCTAGGTCAGCACCAGTTCTGGGTGACAATGAGAGAAGATAGTCACAATATTCCTTATATCCTATCCATGTGGGATCAAGCAGAGTTCTCACTGCCCACTGTACAAAGTGCAGTGCTGGTCTCCACAGCAGGTGAGCCTACACTTTCACTACTGTATGTTAAAGAAATTATGACTTCTGCTGATCACTGAATCATGACTGATGCCAGTTATACTTGAAGCAAGCAGTCTATTTTCAATGGTGTTCATATTTAAGGGAGATCTTGAAATATAGCTAATTATTTTAGAATATTATCCTAAAGCTTTAAGAAAAGGCTAAATTTCACAAAGTGCCCATTTCACATTCACTAATAAGTTTAAAGGAGTTAAAAAAGAAGGGGAAAAAACAGAAGGAAATGAAAAAAGTAAAGGTGGAAAGAATGGCAGTGGAAGGGAGAAAAAAATGTTAATAATTTATCATCTTCTCTCCTTAATGTATTTTCTATAAACAGCAGGCCAGTGTAGCAGGCCTTCAGAAGGGCTAGTTCCACCCCCTTCAATCCATCTGTCAAGAACTGCCTCAGAAGCCCAGCCTATAATACTGAGCCTCAGATTCCCTTGACACTCGCATCACTGAGTTTCATCAGGGCTTGTTCAGGCAGAAGAGTTCACCCAGCCTCTGACAATTCAAGTCACAGTTTCCAAGACAGGTAGTCACAGTGATCAATATTGTGACATCCAGCAATACTATCAACATGTCTGCATGACAGCAAGACAGATCCTGAAGAAAAATACGGAGGGAGAGTCCAATACAAAAGAACATGAGTTCACTTCCTATTCACTAATCAACAGTTCTAAATTCCATGGTCAATATAGAAATGAGAGGAGGAGAAATGAAAGGACAGTCCCACCCCTTCTTCAATTGAGCCATCAGTTTGTTTCCATCAAGAAATTTGCATGCAAATTTTAGAAAGCTTCTCTCAAAAAGAACTTCAGGCATAAGGTCCTATCCTTTACAGACATCTATCACGGCTTGAAGTCACAGTTTCCAAGATAGGTTGTCACAGTGATCAATACTGTGACATTCAGTGTGCTTTTTAACACACCCAAGTTGTGTGTGTCCTATACAGCATTATCTGTTTTGTACCAATTATGAGAAAGCTAAAACCACTTACGACATCTTCTTGTATAATACAACCTTAAAATTTTATTCTTTTCCCTCCACAAATTAGCATACCATATGATAATCTAACTTTCATCTTTTATATGAGGGGCTGACAAAAGACTTGTAACTTTTTACAAATCTAGAAAGTCAAGAACCAGTCTTGCTCATCTTCACATATGAAGTGCAGTGAAAATATTTTCAGGTGCTCAGACTCATCCATTGCTCAAAATAAAATCAGGGATACTATAATTTTTTTTATTATATTATTGTTGTACTAGGGGATACACTGTGACATTTACAAAAGTACTTACAATGGATCTTAGTTAAATTCACCCCATCTATGACTCTCCCTTTATCCTCTCTCCCCCAATTCTTAGAATAATTTCAACAGGTCTCATTTCTCCATTTTCACACATGAGGACACAGTATCTCTACCATATTCACCCTCCTGCACCCTTTCCTTAGATCCTCCCCCTCCCACTGGTAGCAACCCTCAGACAGGACCTGCCAGAGATACTAAATTTTGTGTGTGCAGAAAATCTAACCTGGAAAATTTGTATTTGTTAATACCAGCATTTATCAAATTGGGCTGAGGAGTAGCTCAGTGGTAGAGCATGGCCCTGGGTTCAAGCTCCAGCACCTCCCCACCAAAACAAACAAAAAACAAAGAATTACTCAAGAAAACCCTTTCTATCATCTGACTGAAACTCAACATTGCATTTATAAGTAATGCCAATGTTCACC